CTAATGCGACTACGACTACCACTGCTATGACTAAGACGACTGGTACCAGTACTACTGCTACTACTACTACTACTACGGCGACTACGACTACTACTACTACTACTTCTACTACTACTACTAGTACTACTGCTACTAGTACTACCGCGTATTAATACTGTTACTTCGACGGCTACTAGGTTTACTACTACTACGACGGCTACCACGACTACTACGACTACTACTACTACTACTACTACTGCTAGTACTACGGCTACTACGACTGCTGCTGCTACTACTACTACTACTACGACTGCTACTATTACTACCACGGCCACTACTACTACGACTACTACTACTAGGAACTACTACTACTACTACTACTACTACTACTACCACGATTACTAAGTTTACGATTGCTGCTACTATTACTATTACTCTACTACTACTACTACTACTACCACTACTACTACGACGACTACTACTACCACTACTTCGTCTTCGACTACCACCGCTGCTACTACGACTACGCCTAATAGTACGACTGATACGACTACTACCACAACCAGTACTACTACTACTACTACTACTACTACTACTACTACTACTACTACTACTACTACTGCTACTACTACCACCTACTACTACTACTACTACTACGACTACTACTACTACTACTACTACTACTACTACTACTACTACCACTACTACTACTACTACTACCTACTACTACTACTACTACCTACTACTACCTACTACTACCTACTACTACCTACTACTACCTACTACTACCTACTACCTACTACTACTGCTACTACTATTTTTGCTATCACTACTCCTTCCACTATCTACTACCACTACTACTACCACTACAACTACTACTATTCCACTACTACTACTACTACTACTACTACTACTACTACTACTACTACTACTACTACTACTACTACTACTAATACCATACACTACTTACGTACTACTACTACTACTACTACTACTACTACTACTACTACTACTACTACTACTACTACTACTACTACTACTACTACTACTACTACTACTACTACTACTACTACTACTACTCCTACTACGACTACTACTACTACTACTACTACTACTACGACTACTATTACCACTACTACTACGCCTGCCACTGCTATTACGACTACTACTACCACTACTACGACTGCTGCCACTACTGCTAGTATTACTACCACTACTACTACTACTACTACTACTACGACTACGGTTGCTACTACTACTACTACTACTACTACTACTACTACTACTACTACTACTACTACTACTACTGTTATTACCACTACTACTACTTCTACGACTATTTCTACGACGGTGACTACTACTACTACTACTACGCCCATTGCTACTACTACTAACTACTACTACTACGCCCATTGCTGCTACTACTACTACTACTACTATTACTACTACTACTACTACGACTACTACTACTACTACTACTACTACTACTACTACTACTACTACTCCTACTCCTACTACTACTACTACTACTACTACTTCCTCTTCTTCTTATACTTATACGTCTACTTCTACTTCTACTTCTACTTCTACTTCTACTACGACTACTACTACTACTACTACTACTACTACTACTACTACTACTACTACTACTTCTCCTTCTACTACTGCGAATACCAGTAATATTACTACTACTCCGCCTCCTCCTCTTCCTCCTCCCCTTCCCGGTTCGTCTTCCACAATTTCTTCCACCTTCTTCGACGTGCCCAACTTGCTCAATTCTGGTGTTCCTGCGTCCCGCAAGGCCCACCTTCTGAAGTGAAATGCGTTGTGTTGCCCCGCCTCGCGCGCGCACGCCAGCGGTGGCCGCAGCGTGCGGGCGGGCTGATGGCAGGGGCCAGCACAACGGCGCGCAGAGTGGGCAGGCGAGTAGGGGAGGCGCAGTTGCGCTCGGGCAAAGGAAATTGCCCTTGCTGCTGCAAGGGCGGCGGAGCCCCTGCAGTAGCAGCGCAATTTCCCTTTATTCTTCCCCTGTGATGGCTCCAGCGCCGCGGACGATTCACTGACAAGGAACGGGCGAGGGTGGCAGACGCGATGCAACCCGTGGGTTGCTGAGAATCCCCCCTCCCCCCCTCCCCTTGCCCCCTTGCCTGCTTACCCTCGCCCTTTCCTCTCCATTCCTGCTGTGCCTCGCTGCTGCTGCCTGCTCCTGATGCTGCCTGCTCATCGTCCTCCCCTTCACTCCGCCTCCCCCGTCCGTCCCCTCCTGCTCTGTCCCCCACTCCTCCTCGCCTTGACCTCCCCCTGCCTCTTTTCGCGGGTCCATCCGAGGAGGGGGCGAAGGGGAAGGGGGAGGAGTAGGGGGATGAGATCATCATCGTAATCCTCCTCCACCCCCTCCTCATCATCCTTCCCTCATTCCTCCTCCCCCTCGTCTTGGGAGGCCCTGTACGAGAAAGGCTGGGGCGAGCTGCTGACCCTCGTAGAGCTGGCGGGGTCCAGACTCCAAGGCCTTAGGACCGAGGTGGATGCGAAAGGTGCCGGGTGGCCGCGGCCACGCCATGGGAGGATATGAAGCCAGCGACGACGGCGACGGCGACGACCGGGGAGTACCTTTTTCCTGCGACTTCAACGCCGCGAATCAACGTGAACTCCGCAAACCAACGTGTTTGTTGCGTCCTGACAATCCTGAGCCAGGCCAGAACACCATTGCCAGGATTTTAACACCGCGAATCAACGTGACTCTTTCGTTCTGACAACCCCACTTCGTGTCAGAGAACCGTTCCTGAGACTCCAGCCATACGAGCCCTTGAAACCGTCCCATTCGTTTAAGTCGAATGCGCGCGCTGCTAAGGCCACAGCCACAGTTTGAAACGAAACGGGCCTCCAGATTGAAAGCTGCTGCAACTGATTAAGACGAGTGGGCGCGGCGCTAAGGCGAGAGCCACATTGTGAACACCAGCCGCCCTCCATCCTTGAAACCGTTGCACATCTCAAGCTCCGCCCTACCGACACGCTTCGGGGTGCGACAGGGAGGATTTGTTTACAAGGGGAAGACATGGTTGAGGAGGAGCAGGAGCAGGAGCAGGAGCAGGAGCAGGAGAGCGAGGAGGAGGAGAAGGAGGGGGGGGGAGGGGGAGGGGGATGAGGAGGATGACGACGACAAGATAAGGCAAGTCGAATCGAGCGCAGCACGTCGTCAACGGCGCTGCGTGTACTATTTGTTGGAAAGCATAAGGCGGGCATCAGTCTAGCTCTCGGTTTACCAAGGCAGCAGTCGCGCACGCGTCATCAAGCGACCTGGCACTGGAGGCGCCCAACTCCTGCGCTTGGCATGCTAGGGGCCCACGTGCACTCGGAAAGGTATGCATATTGTAGCTATGTCGCCTTCATTTTCTGGAGCAGTCTGGAGCCTGAAGGACTAAGAGGAGGGTGAGGAGAAGCAAGAGATCGAGGTCTCACCTGCCGATGAGAGACAGTCAACCACTTCCACAAAGGTGGCGTCAAGATTACTGTCGCTTCGCGGGGTGCACGTGGGACACATGAACACTCTAGGCGTCGCGTGCCCATGTTACGGAAGGACGCGGAGGTTTATCAATAGTGTTGTTGCTTCGTTCCAGGCATTAACCAGGGATCATGGTAAGGTTCCCAAGTGGGCTTCCGAGGCCCTCGTGGGGCCATCTTGGAGGCAACTAATCAGAGAAGGGTTCCGTGGTCGTGATGCTTCGCATATCCCCGCCAGCCCATCAAAACCAAACGCCAGGCGAGTTGCCTTGATAAGAGGTGTGCAGCAGCGATGACCAAGGGCGCTCTCGAGGGCGCGAAGTTTTTCGCGCTTCGCGGTTCGGCTCCGATTCCTCATCATCCTCTCTTTCTCCCCTGGGAGGCGGCGCGAGAGCGCGAAGTTATTCGCACTTCGCGCTTCGCGCAACGCGAAGCGCGAAGTTGGGAGCCCTTGATGACGGCGACGGCGACGACGACGACGACGACGATGACGACGCGAGTGAAGCATAAGGCCGTGGCGGGTCTTTCGCTCTGCGAGCCCCGTGGAGGCCTCGAAGGGTCATCTTTGAGCCCCCTTGGGCAATTTTGGGGGCCCTTGAGGAGCTCGTCGGGCCCTCCTGTGGGGTCTCTTGGGGGCGATCTTGGGCGCGAAGTTATTCGCGCTTCGCGGTTCGGCTCCGATTCCTCCTCTTCCTCCTCTTCTCCCTTGGGAGGCGGCGCGAGAGCGCGAAGTTATTCGCACTTCGCGCTTCGCGCAGCGCGAAGAGCGAAGTTGGGAGCCCTAGGGGCGATTTTGGGGGTATCTTACGGCTCTCTTGGAGGCCCCAGGGCCCCCCCGTCGGGTCGTCTCGGAGGCAATTGATCAAACAAGACGGGGGATGAATGTCAGCCGCTCTTCCCGTCGGGGCCCTTGAACTCGCCTCTTGGGGTGCTTCGGGTGCGCTCTTGGGCGATATGGGGGCCCTCCTCGGCCCCTCTTCGGGCTCTCTTGGGGCATCTGGGAGCCATCTTGAGGCTTCAGAAGCCCATCGGAAGTGAAAAGGCGAGAAGGCAAAACCAGCGTTTTCCCTGAGAGGCCCCGTGGCTACTCGGAGCCGTCTCGGTGCGATCTTGAGGCCGCTTGGAGGCATGTTGGAGGCTAGCTTGATCCATGTTGGGCTATCTTGAGCCATGTTGGAGGTCATCTTGAGCTATGTTGGGCCATCCTGTAGCCCTATTGGACACCCCAGCGCCTCACGACACTCCTTCCAGACCCAGGGGGAGGGGGCATGGGGGCCTCCCCAAAGCTGACGAGGGGGGTCGGAGGAGGAGCCTCGCTAGACCGCCCGGACGTCCCGAATGGTCGGTGGGATCACGCCCCCCCCCTTCGGAGGCCCAACAATCGCATCGTGGGGCCCTCTTGGAGCCATCTCGGGCCCCTCTTGAGACTCTGTTGGGCCGTTGTGAACCTGCCTTCGGGCAGCAGAAGCCAACCGGAAGCGACGAGGCAAACCACCAAACACCACTATGCTCCACTGGTTTTGAAAAGGGTCTGCCCTCGTGGGAGGGGCGGGGCGTCTCTGGGAGGCTCCGTGGCTACTTGAAGCAGTCTCAAGGCCTCTTGAAAGCACGCTGGAATCTGACATAGAGTATCAGCACGCTACAGTGTGCAAGATTGAATGCCAGTTTGGGCTATCTGAGGCCGCCTTGGAGCCACACTGCCCCAACAGCCTCCCAAGGCTGCCCCCGATGTGTCAAATTCTGTCAAAGTCCAGGAAGGTTCGGGGGAGCGTAAGACCCGGGTTTGCCGGGACTCGGGTTCGCCATCGTTTTTTGACGACCGCGACTCGGATTTTGACGAGGAGGAGTTTCGTGGGATGTCTGCAGCGGGAGGCCTCGTCAAAATGCAGGCTCGGCCTCGTCATTTTTTTGACGACCTCGTCGGGGATTTCCGAGTCCCCCGTACCCGGGTCTTACGTCTCCCCGAAAGGTATTTCAATGGGTTCAGCTCTGGGTGATCTGACGTATCGCTTCCCCGCTGGTCTTTGGGGCCCCCCCGTGTGGCGCTCTGGGGGCTCTTGGGGCCACACTGGGGCCAGATTGGGGCCGCAGCGAAAGTTCATCGGCAGCGAAATGGCGAGAAGGCACGAGTCACTGATTTCTCATAGGCTGTTGGGTGGTGTTGGTCTCTCGGCGGCGTCGTGGAAATGCACCGTAGCCACTCGGCGCCATTTTGGGGCGGTAGTGGAGCCTCTTGGATGCGTGTTTGAGGCTGCGTTGAGCCATGTTGGGTCATCCTATGCTGTTTGGGGACACGTTGGGCCACATTGGAACCATCTTGGGGGCTGCCTGAGACACGTAGGAACCGTCTCGGGCAAGACAGGGGGCGGTAAAGGCACATGGGGAGGGGGACCAGACACAGGGGAGGGGGTAGAGGTTGCTGTGTGTGAAGTCCGCTCACTCCCCTATTACATTTCTTCCGCAACTGTATTGGTTCAGGTAGTGGTAACTAACCTTTGCGCATTGCCCGCTTCGCAGTGTCCTGGAAAAGAGACCTCTACCAACGGACCCCATACAGGAACGGCCCCTCGGCGGCCTCCCGGCATACACTGCTGCAGGCTTCCTACAAGCCGCAGGCCGTCCCGCTCACTACCACCCTCCCTCCCTCCAGTCACATAAGTTGCGTGCGGGGCTAAGCTTATTCAGCGGTCGCCGTTGCATGGACAGGCACTGGGAGCACAAACAGGCGCCAGGTGCGCGACGCTGGCGGTGTACGGTAGGCGTGCCACGCGCACCAGGTGCGCCACGTGTCCCAGATGTGTTAACAGCACACATATGAAGCATGCCAGCCTCCCACCATCCCTGTCAATAACCAATTCCGATGGGCGGCGGGGTGGTCGTCATGGCGTATGGCATAGCACTTGCAATCACGTTGGATAGGTTTTTTATCAGGGATGGAGCGCTCGCACACAAACTCGCACGCACGCATACACCAGACACCAGACAATGTTAGCCTGCCAGCATGCTTGTCAAAAACCACCCGCACGTGGCCCAACATGTTGCCACAAAGTGTACATTGCTTAGTTCTTCGATTGGGATAGTGGGCGCATGGTTTCTTGTTTGTCACCTGTCGGGTGGGAGAGGGGGGGTTACTTATAAGGAGCAGACATAAAGCCGTTCAAGCTCCCTCAGCCACCTACGCCCAGAGGGTTGGTGGGATTTCATCGCTTCGCCCAATCCGCTTGCCCATGTAAGTATAGCATTGGCAGTTTATGATGTTTGGAATTGCAATGGGTACGGGGGTAAGGCCAAGAGGGGTCATACAAGTGCATGCGGAACCGTACTTCAGTTCTGCATGGCGACAAGCGAACAGGACGGATCAGCACATCATGCGTCGATGGTGATTGTTTTCTAGAGCCAACCGAACAACCTCGGCCCGAAGTGAGAACTTCGCAGTCCGGTGGTTCTGCAGGGGTGGCCTGCGAATCAAGATTTTCAGGGCAAGATCCTGTTGCCGCTTTTAGATGGTTTGGCGTACAAGTTGGGCCGCCTCGACAATGTCGGCTTCGGGCTTAGGTGGTACCGCGCATCCGAGGTCACCATCAGTGACGCGTGGGAAATCGCTGGGTTGATGTAGCGTTCCCTCTTGGAGCCATCTTGGAGCTCAGATGAAGCGGAAAGGGGAGAACAACAAAATCAGTGAAAGGGCCTCCTGAGGCCTGTCTTGGTGTATCCTAGGCCACCTCGGTGCTTCTTGGGGTTTCATTGGGGGCTTGATGGGGTCGTTTCGGTGTCACCTTGGGACTGCCACCCATGGATGCCCGCTCTGGGGCCGCCCTGGGGGCCCATAGGAGCTGCATTGGGTATTTTTGGGGACGGTTTCGGGGATATTCGGAGCCTTCTGGAGCCCATCTGGGCCCAACTAGAAGTCAGATTCGACGATATTGGCACCAAAGTTGAGGCTTCAGAATCACATAGGACAAGCCAAGGCGAGAAAGACAAATCATTGAGCTCACATGTTTTAGGATGACGCTGGCTGCCTGGAGGCCTCGTGGGCTGAGTTTTTCATTAAAAGACTATGGGACCGTTTTTATCGTGTTCGACGTTCCAGGTTGCGGCCGATCAAAACGGAGCACACAACGGAAGCCCAAACCGGGAAAGAACATGTTTCCGTGCGCGAGCCAAAAAATGGACAGAAAACGGAGTGCCCAAACGGGGAGGAACGCATTGCCGATAGTGTTCAAACATGATCAGCGGCTATGAGATATTAAAAAACGTGTTCAGCAGGCATCGAACACGGATACACAAACGGAAAGAAAACGTCAATCTCGAAAACGGGGGGGGAACAGCGCCCCCAGCGTTCTAAGAACATCCACGTTCTTTGGGGTTGTTTTGGATCTTCCTGGGTCACCGCACTCGGATCTGCGCAGGACACCACTCCGCTGGACCCCCACAGGGGCTCATGGGGGCTGCGATTCGTACTCAACTGGCCGCGCCCAGGGGGTCGAGGGCTTCAGTCGGATCCGTGTACCCCGCCGGACCTCCTCCTCCTCCTCCTCCTCCTCCCCTCCTCCTCCTCCCCTCCTCCCTCTCCTCCTCCTCCTCCTCCCTCCTCCTCCTCTCCTCCTCCCTCCTCCTCCTCCTCCTCCTCCTCCTCCTCCTCCTCCTCCTCCTCCTCCTCCAGGGGCTCACGGGAGGGATTGACGACCAGTGCGCAGTTGGCAGCCCCCCAGAGGGGCGAGGTAGGAGGCTTAGGAGGGAGGTGCGAGGCGTGGGCGAAGAGGAGGCAGGAGGTGGAGGAGGAAGTGGAAGACGGAAGCAGTACTCCAGATTTCGTCATAAAAGGGAGGGGGTCTGGACCCTCCAAGACAAGCCATTTCAGACCTCCCCCGTGGGAGAACCCTCCAAAACATCGTCCCCAGACCCCCCAGGCCCGCCAAGATAGCCTGGAAGAGACCCCCCCCCGAAATGAGACCCCCCTCCCTTGATTACGAAATCTGGAGTAGCGCTCTGTTCGAAACGAGCACCCAACGCCGGAGGGTTGGGCAAAAACTTGGCGCAGATTTCGTGGGCGGGGGATGGGCGTCCAGGCGGCGCCTCCAGCGCCGCCCGCCCTGTTCTGCGCGTCGGGGAGGGAATGTCGGGAGGGGATCAGCGCCGACATATGTAGTATATTCTTAGTATATGTCCTGTTGGATGGATCATGGAGGATGGGCGGATATTTGTGTCAGCCGCCCACGAGGATCGACGGCTTCGGCTCCGGCATCAACTACGAAGATATTATCGAGCGCGCAGGGAAATTTAAAGAGGATTTGTTTCCTCCTACCCATCATCGTCATCCCCATGAGTTTCCGTGTCGTCCTCGTTGTCGTCATTATCATCGTTTTTTTGTTTATCTTCAGCTCTTTCTTCGTCGTCATCGTCATCATCATCTTGCTGCCGCTCCTCGTGTTCATCCCCACTGCCCCTCGTCATCCCCCCCCCTTCCCCTCGCCTCATACTCCTCCTCCCACTCCCCCTCCCCCCCTGTCACTATCCCTCCCGCCCACTCCTGCCCTCCCCCCCTCTCCACAGTTGAACAATATGAATACTATTCTCCCTCTTCCCTTGGAGTTGTCCGGAAGATTTCCCGCCCCCTCCGCGTGCTGTTTTTTTTTACACAGGATTTCACAAGTTGCATGTTCCTATGGTTTGCTTTACAATCCTGTGGCTTTCGGTGTCTCAGAATGGTGGCCCCGTCGCAGTGCGGGCCTCGTCTTCGGATCGGCGCTCTGCCCCCGCCGTCGAGAGTGGCGTTCCCGCCCCAGCGCGGGCCACTTCTGTGGATCCGAGCCTCCTCCTCCTCCTCCTCCTCCTCCTCCTCCTCCTCCTCCTCCTCGTCCTCCTCCTCCTCCTCCTCCTCCTCCTCCTCCTCCTCCTCCTCCTCCTCTCTCTTCCTCTTCCTCCTCCTCCGCCGCCGCCGCCTCCTCCTCCTCCTCCTCTGCCTTTCCTTGGCTTCCACTCCAATTCCTGCTGCTGCTGCTGCTGTTCGTCTCGCCCCAGCGCGGGCCCCTTTCCAGAGTCCGAATATTTCTTCATCGTTGTCGCCCCCTTCATTTCCCCTCCGCCTTCCCCTGGTCCTTCTTTTCCTCTCCTTCCGCTTGTGTTCCTGCTGTTCGTCCTCATCCTTTTCGTCCCGCTCATCCTCCTGCTCGCCCGCCACCTCCTCCTCCAGTGCACGCAGCCCTCCTTTGTTTCCGATTGCGCATAACACGAAGTGATCTTTCTGCGGGAGTCGCAGGTCGGTTGTGACACGCGTCCGCGGATAGAGAATTATCAGCGCCATGGAAAGGGATGGGGGGAGAGATGGGATGTCCGATGAGGCGCAAGCGAACCTGGCTTGCCTCCGCCCTCCCTCCCGCCGCCCTCCCCCCCTTCCTCCCGCTCCCATCAAGCCTCCCCTCCCTCGCCGCTCTACTCGGTCAGCGGCTCTGTCTTTGCTAGGACTGGGCCCAGCTCTCCATGCATCCGGGCCTCGACCACGCCGACGAGGCCGGCCGCGGACGCCTGACCGCCACAGCCAAGCTTCAGGAGGAGGATGACGGCGACGAGGGGAAACGAGAGGAGGCAGAGGGGGGGAGGGAAGAGGATGAGGATCAGGAGGAGAAGGAGGATGACGAAAGAGAGCAGGATTGTGAGGACGAGGAGGAGGAGGAGGAGGACGACGGAGGAGGAGGAGGTGGAGGAGGAGGAGGAGGAGGAGGAGGACGTGGACGGGGACGAGGACGGAGACGTGGACGGGGGCGGGGACGGGGACGGGGACGGGGGGGGAGGACGAGAAGCAGGGAGGGCGAACGAAGAGGAGAAGGAGCAGACGGCACAGGATTAGGAGGAGGAGGATCAGAAAGATCAGGATGAGGATCGGAGGACAAGGAGGGGGAGGAGGAAGAGGAGGAGCAGGAGAAACCAGACAAAGGCGTGCGTGCCACCAGAGAGTGGCAGGCGCATGGTAGACTTCCCCTCCACGAACAGCAGAACGTACGTCGCGTTGCCATGAGACGTGTTTGCTAATTGGCTCCTTTTTCCCGGAAAGGGCGCGGGCCCAGGGTTCTCTTTTACTAGGTAAACCTGTCCCCCGGTGCCTGCTTGAAGGAGGCCGGCGAATTTTTTCCCTGATAAATAACGAGCCGGCGAATTGCCGGCGAATTTTTTCCCTGATAAATAACGAGCCGGCGAATTGCCGGCGAATTTTTTCCATGATAAATAACGAGCCGGCGAATTAAAATTTGAGGATGTTTCCCGGAAAGGGCTCCGGCCCAGGGTTCTCTTTTAGTATGTAAACATGTCCCCCGGTGCCTGCTTGAAGGAGGCCGGCGAATTGCCGGCGAATTTTTTCCCTGATAAATAACGAGGTCGAAGGAGGCCGGCGAATTGCCGGCGAATTAAAATTTGAGGATGTCTCGAGCGAAACGCTTGTTTTTCAGAAAATGGTGAGGATGTCTCGAGCGAAACGCTTGTTTTGTGTTATAGATTGTCCTCTTTGGGGACCTGAATTCTGAGGACCACCTCCCAGCACGACCACTCCCCCAGCACGACCACCCCCCAGCACGACCACTTCCCAGCACGACCACACCCCAGCACGACCACTCCCCAGCACGACCACACCCCAGCACGACCCCACCCCAGCACGACCCCACCCTAGCACGAACACACCCCAGCACGATCACACCCCAGAACGACCACACCCCAGCACGACCCCACCCCAGCACGACCCCACCCCAGCACGACCACACCCCAGCACGACCACACCCCAGCACGGACCCCACCCCAGCACGACCCCAGCACCACACCCCAGCACGACCACACCCCAGCACGACCTCACCACAGCATGACCACACATCAGCACGACCACGCCCAGCACGACCACGCCCCAGCACGACCACACCCCAGCACGAACACACCTCAGCACGACCACACCCCAGCACGACCACACCCCAGCACGACCACACCCCAGCACCAGCACGACCACACCCCAGCACGACCCGATCGATAAGTCACAGGGTGCGGACCACCCCAGCACGACCACACCCCAGCACGACCCCACTCCAGCACGACCCCACCCCAGCACGACCACGCCCCAGCACGACCACACCCCAACACGACCACACTTCAGCACGACCACACCCCAGCACGACCCCGACCCAGCACGACCCCACCCCAGCCCGACCACACCCCAGCACGACCACACCCCAGAACGACCACACCCCAGCCCGACCCCACCCAAGCACGACCCCACCCCAGCACGACCACCCCAGCACCCAGCAGGACCACACACCCAGCACGACCACATAGCACCACACCCCAGCACGACCACACCCCAGCACGACCTCACCACAGCACGACCACACCCCAGCACGACCACGCCCCAGCACGACCACGCCCCAGCACCACCACGCCCCAGCACGACCCCACCCCAGCACGACCACCCCCCCAGCACGACCACACCGCAGCACGACCACCCCCCAGCACGCCCACCCCCCAGCACGACCACTCCCCAGCACGAGCACACCGCCTTGGTTGAGTGGTTGCCTGCACGACCACACCCCAGCACGACCACACCCCAGCACGACCACACCCCAGCACGACCACACCCCAGCACGACCACACCCAGCACCAGCACGACCACACCCCAGCACGACCCGATCGATAAGTCACAGGGTGCGGACCACCCCAGCACGACCACACCCCAGCACGACCCCACCCCAGCACGACCCCACCCCAGCACGACCCCACCCAGCACGACCACACCCCAGCACGACCACACCCCAGCACGACCACCCCAGCACGACCAGCAAGACCACACCCCAGCACGACCACACCCCAGCACGACCTCACCACAGCACGACCACACCCCAGCACGACCACGCCCCAGCACGACCACGCCCCAGCACGACCACGCCCCAGCACAACCACCCCCCAGCACGACCACCCCCCCAGCACGACCACACCCCAGCACGACCACCCCCCAGCACGACCACACCCCAGCACGACCACTCCCCAGCACGACCACACCGCCTTGGTTGAGTGGTTGCCTGTCGTCGTGGAATGTTTCGTGGGGTGTCTCGTGGAATGTTTCGCGGGGTGTCTCGTGGAATGTTTCGTGAGGTGTCTCGCGGAATGTTTCGTGAGGTGTCTCGTGGGATGTTTCGTGAGGTGTCTCGTGGGATGTTTCGTGAGGTGTTGCCCCGTTGGGTATCGTGAAAACGTGCCCATGCTCCACATGTCTATATCCCTTTCCGGGTTCGTGGGTCCATCATGTTGTTATTCCCTTTCTCTTCTCATCAAGACATCGGGCCACTGTGATATAGACCGCACACCAGCTCTCTTACATTCTGGTGCAACCACCCAGCGCGAGATATGGGAGCCTTCGCGGTCCTCTTGGAGTCATCTTGGGGCCCTCACCGGAGCCTCCCGGGTCCTCTTGGGGTCATATCGACAGCAGTCGAGGAAAGAAGGGGGCGACGTGAATCAGCGTTGTCTCCCTGGGGGCGAGAGATCGCGTCTGAGAGCCCTCTTGGGACGCTCGTGCGGCCATCTTGGACCTCGTCAGGGCCCATCGAACCTCGTGCTGTTCTCTTGGGCGATATCGGGGCAACTTCGATGCCTCACAGGTCCATCGGAAGCAGAAACGTCAGAAGACAAAGCACAGTGGAATACCGTATGTCGTTGAATGCGGATGGCCTCTCGGGGGTTTCCTTGGGACGCTCCGTGGGCACGTGTAGCCGTCTTGGAGTGGTCGTGTGACATCTTGGCAGCATATCGGAGGCCATTTTGAGCCATCTTGGGCTATGTTCATCCATCTTGGAGACCATCTTCGGCTACCTGGGGCCCTCTTCAAGCCATTTTGGAAGATCTCACTGCTGGCGGGCCCCCCCGTCCAGACCCAGAGGAGGGGGGGGAGGGGGGGGAGGGAGAAACATCTGCTCGAAGAGGAAGAAGTTTGGATAAACAAACTCGTTCAAGACCCTATTCCCAGAGGGCTGGCGGGACTACAGAAGGCGGGCAGGGGGCGCACTGTGAAGGTAGTTGGTCACCGGTTTAGATTTAAGTAACTCACTTACTTGTGATCGGGATGACGTCCACATGCTTCACTGGAACCTCACGCCGCATCGTTGAGATCGGGGCACCTACGATGAGATCGCCCATGCGGACATCAGCCCGACCCACCAGCCGAGAGGCAGGTGATTGGTGACCGAGGGTATGGGCGGCAGGAGCGAAAGAAGGACGTACACGTACATGAATCCACGCTGGTTTCGAGAGTACGCATTGCGCAGATGTTCGTATAACGCGGCTGGTCTCGCGGATCGAAGGGCCGTGTTCATGTACATAGTTGGGCGCGTACGTTTTTTTGTGGGTTCCCTAGAATTGCATGCCCCCCACGCCAGGTTATACATGGCTATGGAGTGTTGGTGAATCCGTCCACCTCGGACGTGCTGTGCACGGTGACGGTGGAGGCGCTCGCCATGGGGAAGCGCGCAGTGTTGGCCCAGCATCCGTCCAACCGGTTCTTCCAGGAGTGCCTCGCGATTGAGTTTCTTCTTGGTGTCTTTACCACGTCTTTGGTTGGACTCATGCCCCCCCTCCCCCCGCAAGCTCACTCGCCAGATGTTTTCAAGTCCAGGTGTCAATTCTCGTCCATAATGCTTCTTGTGAGGCGCTTCACAATCTGAATCGTTTGCGAGACTAATCCGCCTTGCGTGACCCCTTCTGCGGATGAGATATCCCCACTCTTGAAGTCGTTGTTGACACTTGTTGGGTATCACCCAGAGCGTTTGTTGTTTACATCGAGCTCGTCGTTGGGACGCTTTGCTCACAGAGTCAGCCACCATTCGTTGTTCCTCTAGGCTGTTTCCCTGAGCTCCCCGCAGGAGTGCCGCCGATTTAGTCCCCGCTGTAATCTTCGCTGCCTCCGCTCGTAAACTAGCCGCCGTCGGTTGCACCAGAGCGGTCCTGAGCGCTTTGGAACGGCCGCGGCACCCGATACATCCTCCAGAATTGCCCGATCTCAGAGATCCCCGACTGTCCCGATGCGATGTTGCCCCAGTCCTGGCTGCGTTCTACCTCCCGACTTCCTCCCGCTCCTCTTCTGCATGTATCGCACTGCATCCTGGCGCGGCAGACTTCGGAGGGCCTCGTCCGGTGTTCGATAGGCCTGGGCTTTGCCCGCAGCGGTGGTCCTTCGCTTGTTCGTTCGTGCTCCCCGTCCCCCCCCTTGGCGTGGTCGACGGTGCTGAGCTTGGCTCCCTCCGCCCACGCGCCGAGCGGCGGCACGGCTGTGCTGCACGGCGTTCTCCCCGAGGTACTTCCCAGACCGCACCCACTTCTTCAACGCCGGCGAGGTGGGCTCCTTCGTCGAGGCCGTGAAGGCGGCAGTGGCCGCAGGTCCCCCGCAGGCGCTGCCAGAGGAGTCCAGGCACGTGCTGACATGGGAGGCCGCGGGGGGGAAGGAGGCGGGGGAGGGGGAGGGGGAGGGGGAGGCTGGGGGAGGGGAGGGCGGAGGGGGGAGGCAAAGGGGGAGGTTTCACCGAGGTGCGTGCACGCACAAAAAGTGGCCCACCGGCTCTGCCTGTCGAGGGCGGAATTGAAGGTCATGTGGCCTTGGCAGGGTCCGCTCGGCCGAGTTTCCAATGGTGCCGCTTGTGCTGATGCTGCCACAACTCAGAACTCATCCCTGGAGGATCTGGTGGTCAGGATGGTCCTCTTGGCTGACTACTCGCAGCCCAGCTCCAAGTGGCAACTATCCGTCAACTGCAACGGGCATGTGGGGAGATTGTCGTCAGGCTGCAGGTCCCCGCTTACAAGTTCCACTGAACGTTCGCTTCTGGTCGCGCGTGGGCAGTCCCGCAGCATGTTCGGACCCGCCGCGCAACTGATTAGAACGTCTGGTGTCAAGCGCTGCAACTTCAAACTGCCGCTTCCCAGCAGAAAGCATGTCGGTCGTGCTGGCGCTCCGTGATCTCGCCGTTCCCTCGGTCAAGGGCGAGAATCGGTCATCGACTTGGCCAGCTGGCAGTCTGCAGCCTTGACCCCAGCGATGCGCTCGGCTGCTCCGTTGGCCTCGGAAAGGGGGGAGGAAGGGAGAGGGTACGGGGAGGAAGGGGGACGGCAGCGGAGGGGGACGGGGGGAGGAAGGGTAGGTGGAAGGGGAGGGGGAGGAGGAGGGGGAGCGAGGGGGCAGGGGAGAGGGGGAGCGAAGGGGACGGGAACGAGGAGGAGGAGGAGGAGGAGGCGGACCTGGGAGGCAGAAGAGGAAGACAAAAAGACAGCGGCATCACCAGAGTTTGTCGGGGCTCCGCGCGGCTCTCTTGGATCGGTGCTGAACCCCCTCTCTGGCGCGCGGAGTGCGCGCCAGAGAGTGGCGCCGGAGGCGCCGCCCGGAGGGCCCAGCGCCCAAGAGGTCCGCGCGGACCTCCGAGAGCTCATCGCTGTGGCGTTTTCTTTTGCTGTTCCTCCTTCGACGAGCAAAGAGGAGGGAGGCGACGACGACCCGGGCGGGCAAGAGAGTCGGGCGGTCGCAAGCATGGATCAAGGGGGCGTGGACTGGCGACGGGTCCCGTTTCCCTGGGAGGTCGCGGGCCTCCGCCGCCGAGCGAGGCGGCACCGCCCGCATCTCGGGGAGGGCACCTCCCCCGATCCGTGGGTCTGGCGACCTCGCGCCGAATCCGCGGATCGCTGATGCAGGTCTGCGCGCCCCCGAGAGGAGGGGGGGACGGGGGAGGGGGGGCCGTGCCAGGCCGCCAACGAGCGCCTCTTCACGTCGGCCGAGGCGGCCGCGCCTCGTGCCTGCGCGGGCCGGGGGGGGGGGTCGGGGCCGTGCGCTCTGCTCCGCCCATCTTCGGCTAGACTTACGTCGGGCGTGTCGCGTGTCCCCCCACAGGGGGATTTTCGACGAAAAATAAAACATACCGCCAAAAAATATTCCAAACATAGTCGGGGGATTATTGTTTGAGTCTATTTTGGCATTTTTGGGGCATGTTTGGGGTATGTTTTATTTTTCGTCGAAAATCCCCCTGTAGGGGGACACGCCCGACGTAAGACTAGACGTAAGAGTGACCTTTCGCCAGAGTGACCTTTGGTGCGGGCACATTGGGGGCGTAGATGTTTTTCGCCCGGGTTGGTTTTCGCCCGGTGCGTTTCGCCCGGTTTGTTTCGCCCGGGTTTGCTTTCGCCCGGTTGGCTTTCGCCCGGGTTGGCTTTCGCCCGGGTTGGCTTTCGCCCGGGTTGGCTTTCGCCCGGGTTGGCTTTCGCCCGGTTGGCTTTCGCCCGGGGTGGCTTTCGCCCGGGTTGGCTTTCGCCCAATTGGCTTTCGCCCGGTTGGCTTTCGCCCGGGTTGGCTTTCGCCTGGTTGGCTTTCGCCCGGGTTGGCTTTCGCCCGGTTGGCTTTCGCCCAGGTTGGCTTTCGCCCGGGCTCGTTTTCGCCTGGGTTCAGCTTCGCCCTCCTCTTCCTCTTCTCCTCTTCCCTCTCCTGTTCTTTCATGCTGCTGCTGCTGCTGCTCCTCTTACCGATCCCGACCCGACCCGACCCGCCCCGCCCGTTAGGGTCCGCCCGACCCGACCCGACCCGCCCGTTAGGGTTCACGCGTGCTCACTCGAGCGCGCCCCACACCTCAGCGTCCCGCCCGCCCGACCCGACCCGCCCGACACTTTAATGTCCCGCCCGCTTCACCCGACCCGCCCGTTAGGGTCCGCCCGACCCGACCCGACCCGCTTCGCGAGCCAGGGTCCGCCTGCCCCACCCTGCCCGCCCGTCAGGGTTCACGCGTGCTGACTCGAGCGCGCCTCCACACTTTAGTGTCCCGCCTGCCCGACCCGACCTGCCCGTTAGGGTCCGACCGGCCCGAACCCGCCCCGCCCGTTAGGGTCCGCCCGACCCGACCCGACCCGCCCGTCAGGGTTCACGCGTGCTCACTCGAGCGCGCCCCACACCTCAGTGCCCCGCCCTCCCGACCCGATCCGCCCGTTAGGGTCCGCCCGACCCGAACCCGCCCCGCCCGTCAGGGTCCGCCCGGCCCGACCCGACCCGCCCGTTAGGGTTCACGCGTGCTCACTCGAGCGCGCCCCACACTTTAGTGTCCCGCCCGCCCGACCCGACCCGCCCGTTAGGGTCTGCCCGACCCGACCCGACCCGCTTCGCCCGCCAGGGTCCGCCCGACCCGACCTGACCCGCCCGTCAGGGTATGTCAGGGTTCACGCGTGCTCACTACACCTCAGTGCCCCGGCCGCCCGACCCAACCCGCCCGTTAGGGTCCGCCCGACCCGACCCGCCCGTTAGGTCCGCCCTACCCGACCCGCCCGTTAGGGTCACGCGTGCTCACTCGAGCGCGCCCCACACTTAGTGTCCCGCCCGCCCGACCCGACCCGCCCGTTAGGTCTGCCCGACCCGACCCGACCCGCTTCGCCCGCCAGGGTCCCCCGACCCGACCCCAACCCGCCCTCAGGGTATGTCAGGGTTCACGCGCCTCACTACACCTCATTGCCCCGCTTCCGCCCGAACCAACCCGCCCGTTAGGGCCGCCCGACCCGAACCCGCCCCGCCCGGGTCCGCCCGGCCCACCCGACCCGCCCGTCAGGGTTCACGCGTGCTCACTCGAGCGCGCCTCCACACTTTAGTGTCCCGCCTGCCCGACCCGACCCGCCCGTTAGGGTCCGCCCGACCCGAACCCGTCCCGCCGTTAGGGTCCGCCCGACCCGACCCGACCCGCCCGTTAGGGTTCACGCGTGCTCACTCGAGCGCGCCCCACACTTTAGTGTCCCGCCCGCCCGACCCGACCCGCCCGCTAGGGTCCGCCCGACCCGGCGCGACCCGCCCCGCCACGCCAGCGACGGCGGCGCCTGCTTTTGCCCCTGAGCCTGCCCCGCCTGCTCCCCGCCCGGCCCCGGCGAAAGCCAGCCCCGGCGAAAGCCAACCCCGGCGAAAGCAAACCCCGGCGAAAGCAAACCCGGCGAAAGCCAACCCCGGCGAAAGCCAACCCGGCGAAAGCCAACCCCGGCGAAAGTCAACCCCGGCGAAAGTCAACCCGGCGAAAGCCAACCCGGCGAAAGCCAGCCCCGGCGAAAGCCAACCCCCGGCGAAAGCCAACCCCGGCGAAAGCCAACCCCGGCGAAAGCCAACCCCGGCGAAATGAAGCCCGGCGAAACGAAGCCCGGCGAAACGAAGCCCGGCGAAAGCCAACCCCGGCGAAAGCCATCCGTGCCACATTGGGGCCCTCCGATAGCCGAGCGCTTTGCGATAGTACCGTCTTGCGCGCCTGTGTTTGGCCACCCCGCGGCCCCCCAAAAGCCGCGCACCAAAGGTCACCCTCACCCAGGGTCACTCTTGCGTGCAGCCGACATGTATCAGGAGCAACGTCAGGGGGTGGAGAGGGTCAGGGGGGCCTGCATTCAAGGGAGGAAAGACCACCCGGACCGGACAACCGGCGTTTACTAAACGGCCTTGGGCGTTTACTAAATGGCCCTGCCTGTTTGATTTCTTCTTTGGGTGCGTTTACTGAACGGCCTCGCGTGTCGAAGTGTTTATCATCGGGGTGGATTTTCTGCCCTCTATGCATCGGCCCCCAATCGCCCATTGATCGCCGATGAGGGGCCCGATGACACGCCCTGCCTGGGACCGTGCGGATTCGCTATCGATGACCTGTCGGCGATGTACCGCCGATTGCAGCTCGATGTTCCCTCCTTCCGCCGGTCCCCTCCGAGCATGGCCACTCAATCCTGTCCCTCTCCCGACGGTACTGCTTCGGGGGGTTCGGCCGTCGCTGGTGTACCTCAGCAGGAGGAAGTGCGCCCCCCTTGTCTCGAGGAAGAAAAAGCTGCAGAAAAATTGTCGGAGGTCTGCGTGGATTTCTTCGCTCGGCGATGTGCCCCCCCCTGGCGCCGCCCCTGGCGCGCTCCGCGCGCCAGAGAGGGGGGACCCTGCGCAGATGCAAGAAATCCGAGCGGAGCTCCGAAAGTTTCTGGCTGTGCGGCTTGTTGTTCCTCCAGGCACTGCTTCGGGGTTTCGGTCGTCGTTGGTGCACCCCAGCATGAGAAGGAGGTGAGCCCCCCCCTCCCCCACTTTCGGGCGACGAGATGTATGATTGCACATCCTCTGCCTGCTGGCCATGCCCATCTGGGTCCTGGAGCTGTGTATATACGCCTCCATTGCTAAGCGTTCCTTTCTCATCGGCCTTCGCCCTGCAAAGACAGGGCCAGTCTGATTCCGGACCCCAAGCTCGATGGCACTTCTGTCCGTCACGTCATGGGGAGGCAGGAGTTGTTCAAATTGTCCAGATGCCAAGACGACAAGAAGTATTGGTTTGGTTTGCCATCATGCCATGTTTGTCTGTTTGATCATCATTCCCGCATTTCTTCTGTCGTGGCTTCCTTGCTTCTCAGAGTCCTTCCAAGGTGCGCGTGTTGTCGGGCCCGTACCAGCGACCTTCAGAGGCTGCATCGGCGCGGTTGGCGTACAGAATGCACAACGACTTGATGCAGGACAGGACGATGTCGGAGCTGATCAAGGAGGCGTCGGGGGAGACATAAAGTTTGTGTAGTAGAAGGCGATGGCCAGCCGCATGGCGCAGCACAACTCACATGCGAACTTGCACCACGTGAGTATGCAAAATGTCTGAAAGCACACACACACACACACACACGCGCGCATACAGATGTGCATATATACACAAAAGTGTGCACGCAGTGGTTACATATGCCTTGATATGTGTATATATATCTATATATGTGCATGTGTATACGTGTAGTCGCTTCTACCCCAAGGAGCATACATGCGGCCTCCGTCTCTTCATCCGCCTCATCATTGTCTATCTCCGTTCTCAATTCCGCCTCCTCCGTCTCCCCTTCCTCTGTCTCATTCTCTTTTGTCTCCTCATCATCATGCTCCGCCTCCCCCGTTGGCAGCATTACGCCAGACAGAAAAACGAGTAAGAAATACACCGACATTCCATTTGAAGGTTGTAGTAAGACAGCCACGCAAACACTACACAGCGAACACCTAGCTAGGATGGATGTCTGAAGGATGTCCAGTAAACCACAGTTCAAGCATGTGCGGTTGCCTGGTAAGAACCCAGGTGGAACACAGATGTAATGGTATCATGAGAAAGCCATGCCAACCAGCTAAGACGTATGTTGGAAAAGGGGGCTCCTCCTCCTACTACTTCTCCACTTCGCGACGGCGCGGTATAGCAGAGCCTCCCTAATTATACGTATGTTCTGCTGTGTTGTTTACAGGGTCCCCTTCAGAACAGGATCAGCACGATCTGGTTTAGCTATGTTCTTACAGGGCTCCCTTGACAAACCAAGCAAGTGTTGCTGTGGGGGTCCTTCAGGCAGCCTTCGACTGCACATGTGTGTTAGGATAACATCTATACGAAGCCTCCAGGGCCGCCTGGAGCTGAAGGGAACAAGAGAAGATGAAGACGCCAAATGTTTGATCAAACAATGTCGCAAACATTATGTGGGCTTCTTCGGGTCGCACTGGGTGTGTTATTGTCGCCATCTTGGGCCGTCTTGGAGGCATCTTGGACCATCTTGGCGGTCCTGGTTGCATGCCTCTGCTGGCTTGGAAGCTCGAGAGCGCGGATCCGTAGCGTTGTATTGGTATCGTAGCTCAGGGAGACGTTTTTCCCGGAAAGGGCTGGGGCCCAGGGTTCTCTTTTACTATGTAAACATGTCCCCCGGTGCCAACTTGAAGGAGGCCGGCGAATTTTTTCCCTGATAAATAACGAGCCGGCGAATTGCCGGCGAATTTTTTCCCTGATAAATAACGAGCCGGCGAATTGCCGGCGAATTTTTTCCATGATAAATAACGAGCCGGCGAATTAAAATTTGAGGATGTCTCGAACCCGGAACGCTTGTTTCCCAGCACGGCCCCACCCCAGCAAGACCACACCCCAGCACGACCACACTCCAGCACGACCTCACCACAGCACGACCACTCCCCAGCACGATCACGCCCCAGCACGACCACGCCCCAGCACGACCACTCCCCAGCACGACCACCACCCAGCACGACCACACCCCAGCACGACCACTCCCCAGCACGACCACACCCCAGCACGACCCCACCCCAGCACGACCCCACCCTAGCACGACCACACCCCAGCACGACCACACCCCAGAACGACCACACCCCAGCACGACCCCACCCAAGCACGACCCCACCCCAGCACGACCACACCCCAGCACGACCACACCCCAGCAGGACCCCACCCCAGCACGACCCCACCCCAGCACGGCCCCACCCCAGCAAGACCACACCCCAGCACGACCACACTCCAGCACGACCTCACCACAGCACGACCACTCCCCATCACGATCACGCCCCAGCACGACCACGCCCCAGCACGACCACTCCCCAGCACGACCACCTCCCAGCACGACCACCCCCCCAGCACGACCACCCCCCAGCACGACCAACCCCCACACGACCACCCCCCAGCACGACACACCCCAGCACGAACCTCAACCAGACAGCACGTGAGCACCACACCCCATTATGCGCGACCACGGCGCCCCAGCACGACCTTGCCGCCAGCACGATCACGGCCACCAGGCCGACCACACCCCAGCACGACCACCCCCCCAGCACGACAACAACCCCAAAAAAAGGACGACCACACCCCACCACGACCACAACCCAGCCAGTCGCACCCCCGTGGAATGTTTCGTGGGTGTCTCGTGGAATGTTTCGTGGGGTGTCTCGTGGAATGTTTCGTGGGGTGTCTCGTGGAATGTTTCGCGGGGTGTCTCGTGGAACGTTTCGCGAGGTGTCTCGTGGAATGTTTCGCGAGGTGTCTCGTGGGATGTTTCGCGGGGTGTCTCGTGGGATGTTTTGTGAGATGTCGCCCAGTTGGGTATCGTGAAAACGTGACCATGCTGCGCATGTCTATATCCCTTTCCGGGTTCGTGGGTCCATCATGTTTGCATGGATCGTGCTCGTGGCGTCTGTATTGATATCCGTCCTGATATTTGCTTTTGCTTTTTGCCATGCCAACGTGATTGCTGACGTCTTTGATATTCGTTGTGATGTTTGCTGTATATCCGCATTGACAGCGCGATCTTTGCTTTTTCCCGGAAAGGGCGGGGGCCCAGGGTTCTCTTTTAGTAGGTAAACCTGTCCCCCGGTGCCTGCTTGAAGGAGGCCGGCGAATTGCCGGCGAATTTTTTCCCTGATAAATAACGAGGTCGAAGGAGGCCGGCGAATTAAAATTTGAGGATGTCTCGAGCGAAACGATTGTTTTTCAGAAAATGGTGAGGATGTCTCGAGCGAAACGCTTGTTTTGTGTTATAGATTGTCCTCTCCTGGGGACCTGAATTCTGAGGACCACCTCCCAGCACGACCACCCCCCCAGCACGACCACCCCCCAGCACGACCACCCCCCCAGCACGACCACACCCCAGCACGACCACTCCCCAGCACGACCCCACACCCCCCAGCACGACCCCACCCCAGCACGACCCCACCCTAGCACGACCACACCCCCCAGCACGACCCCACCCCAGCACGACCACACCCCAGCACGACCACACCCCAGCAGGACCCACCCCAGCACGACCCCACCCCAGCACGACCCCAGCACCACACCCCAGCACGACCACACCCCAGCACGACCACACCACAGCACGACCACACCCCAGCACGATCACGCCCCAGCACGACCACGCCCCAGCACGACCACTCCCCAGCACGACCACCTCCCAGCACGACCACCCCCCCAGCACGACCACCCCCCAGCACGACCACCCCCCAGCACGACCACACCCCAGCACGACCACTCCCCAGCACGACCACACCCCAGCACGACCCCACCCCAGCACGACCCCACCCTAGCACGACCACACCCCAGCACGATCACACCCCAGAACGACCACACCCCAGCACGACCCCACCCAAGCACGACCCCACCCCAGCACGACCACACCCCAGCACGACCACACCCCAGCAGGACCCCACCCCAGCACGACCCCACCCCAGCACGGCCCCACCCCAGCAAGACCACACCCCAGCACGACCACACTCCAGCACGACCTCACCACAGCACGACCACTCCCCAGCACGATCACGCCCCAGCACGACCACGCCCCAGCACGACCACGCCCCAGCACGACCACCCCCAGCACGACCACCCCCCCAGCACGACCACCCCCCAGCACGACCACCCCCCAGCACGACCACACCCCAGCACGACCACACCCCAGCACGACCACCCCCAGCACCCACGCACGAGCACGATCACGCCCAGCACGACCACCCCCCAGCACGACCACCCCCCAGCACGACCACACCCCAGCACGACCACACCCCAGCACGACCACACCCAGTCGCACCCCCGTGGAATGTTTCGTGGGGTGTCTCGTGGAATGTTTCGTGGGGTGTCTCGTGGAATGTTTCGTGGGGTGTCTCGTGGAATGTTTCGCGGGGTGTCTCGTGGAACGTTTCGCGAGGTGTCTCGTGGAATGTTTCGCGAGGTGTCTCGTGGGATGTTTCGCGGGGTGTCTCGTGGGATGTTTTGTGAGATGTCGCCCAGTTGGGTATCGTGAGAACGTGACCATGCTGCGCATGTCTATATCCCTTTCCGGGTTCGTGGGTCCATCATGTTTTGTTTGTATTGGTATCCGTCGCGTGGCGTCGTGACCGCAGATCGACTGCTTCTTGCTGGGGATCGTGGCCCCGGGAGCGCGGATCGACTGTTTCTTGCATGGGGATCATGGCCTCGGGAGCGCGGATCGACTGCTCCTCGCTAGGGATCATGGCCTCGTGACCGCCGATCGTGGCGCGGACCGTTGCCTCGTGACCGCCGATCGATTGCTTCTCGCTGGGGATCGTGGCCTCGGGAGCGCGGATCCATATTCTTTGACGAAAAGGGCCGTGGCCTCGGGAGGGGGGGGGCGACGCGCGCAGGGCCCCCAGGAGACGGCAGAGGGGCCCTACCAGGCAGCGCCTGGCATTCGACCACTCAGGAGGGAGCAAAAACACACACACACACACACACAGAGACAACATTCATCGTCGATTCCCCAGAAAATCTGGGAAAATATGGGAAGTGGGGGGGGGGGGGACAAGGACCCATAAAATGTGGGAAAAGATGTAGAGTCCTGTCGTTTGTGTCTATGTATTTGTGTGTCCCTGGGCCCCTTCGACTACGCCTCGACATGCCAGTGGTTACGGTGGTGGATCAGTACGTGGGGAGGCGTATTTCTTCTCCTGACTTGAGCCTGAGGAGTTTCTCGTTGACACAGGCCGCATCCATCATAGTAATGGGCGAGAGCGGAGGAGGAGGAGGAGGAGGAGGAGACGGATTTCGGCGTTCCCACTGAGCTCCTCGAAGTTGTACACATGTAACTTAGCACGGGGGGGGGGGGCGGGACCACTTGCTGGGGGGTAGGTAGGGGCCAGAATGGCCCCAAGACAGTTCCAAGACAGCTCCACGATGACCCAAGGATGGCCCCGCTCGGGCCAAGGTTGTCTTCAGCATGACCTCAGGAGATGCCAACACCGACCGAAGTG